CTTCGCCTGAGATTTACTGAATAGTTCCGAGCAAAATATACAGGCGGCGTCGTATTCACCATCAAATCTCTTATTTTCTCTATTTTTTCTAAACACCTTTCTACTTACAACCTTTCTAGATGCTTGTGAAGTTGACTTGGATGTTTTTTGTTTTCCTTTCATCAAAAGATAATTTGGTGTGGAGGTGAAAACAGTTGATCCTTGAGAAGATTTTAAACTTCTTGTCTGAGATAGTGGAATTATATCACATGGAGTTACCAAAGTATCCTCCAACGATGATGGATTTTTTCCTTTTAACGCCATCTTTCTGTACTGAAATGCTGATTCGGAAATTGGGATTGATATACCAACAACTTCCGGATTTGATGATACACTGCATCTTTTCATTTTAAATCATTTCAAATCATCAAGTTTCATTTTCTGATAATCGCCCCGGATTATCACCAAAAAGGATAATATCATCTGAAGATTATCCACTTGCTTTCCATTACATCCAATGGCTGCATCTTGTGTGTGCAATGTGGCGGAAACGACAGTATTATAAAGCCATTTGGTCTACAGTATTTCACAGCTTCGACATACTTGTATCTTGAATTACCATTAAGCAATAATAGAACCCTATTTTCAACTGAACACTGTGCACGTTGTTGAAAATACTCTAAGAACAGAATGAATGTGTCAGATTTTACGTATCCAGATTCGTTGTAAAGAGAAAGTGTTCCATATGTGGCACGTTGAAATAATAATTCATTTCTTCGTGTGCGAGGACTATTATTGCTAAAGGGATGAATTGACCCACAGCATTTACGCAGAGAACAACAGTAACATTTTGTTCCAGTTCGGCGCTTGTTAGAAAACCAACCTGTTTCCGCCCCTTATGTGCTAAAATTTTGGGTAACTTGTAAGAGACCGTCTGGATACCAAACTCATCCATATTATACTCATAGGATTTATGTTATTTTTATTTTGTATTTCATCTAAAAGAGAAAAAAACTTAGCGACTGGCTCTTTATTAAAGCCTCTCACTCTGACAGCTGAGGTCCCTTCAGGGGTTCTAGAAGAATCTCTGGATATCTCTATAGAAAGTCTCTTAACCAAGCCGTTCCAGCTGACTTTTTTTTTTATTATAAAATCTGTGTTTAAAGCCATTGTTCTCAGCAATACCAATCCATTCTGAGTTTTGGCCCTTCTTTTAAAGTACTCGAGGGCAGATTATAAAGCCTGGCAGATCTTTTAAAAGGCATGCCATTAAAAATATTTTCCCAAGTCTCATTGAATTTGAACCCCATTGCTGCCAAGTTCTAACCATTATTTCTGTAAAGACAATATACGTACATTAAATTGCTATAAAAAATATTCCAGTATAACACAAAACTTTATTTGGTAGGCTAAGCAAGGGTAAAATGGTCTCCGGATTCATTTTGCCTCAATCAACATGTAGGGACCATATTACCTCAAAATCTGCTCAAATATAGAAAGTAATTTACATGAGTGATTTCTGATAATTAAATAAATTGTAACAGATATGAAATAAACAAAAAAAATACCTTTTTAAACTCTATTAAAAAAGTTCTAGTTACTTTAATTAAGACGCCTAAAACCACAACTTTTGCGAACACGAAATTCGCCATCTTACATGTGTTCACAACTTCGTACATAGGTGGCGCTAGTATTACTGAATATAATAAAGAAATCTAAACGGCCAGCGGTTTTATGAAAATGATGACAAATATGTTAAGGGACCATTTTACCCAGGGGGACCATTTTACCCGACTTTCTCCTATATCGCAGTTAAAGCATGGATAATAGAGACATAGAGGTGAATAAAGGATTGCTTTAAAGAAAGCTTTGGTTCATAAGAAGTTGTAATGATGATGGTACAAATTGTTCCACAAAAGTCCTCCAACCGGTCAAACGATTGTAACATTTGAAAATATTATAATTTCACTTTGCCCTAATTGCCTATTGCCATTTCTTGCACACTTTGCCTGACTGCCTTAATTTTTTCCAAGATTTTAGTTTCGCTCCTATCCCAAACTTTACACGTCGTTTTGAAGTTTGGGGAGACTAACCTTCTTTTTGAAAGAGTTTTTTCTTCCTTATTTTTAGACGAAGTTTGTCGACTTGTTCCTTGAGATAAGAATTCTATGGTAAAATTTCCAAATGTCTTAGAAATTTTAAAATATTGCATTAGAATAAAATATTCGCACCTGCTTCTGAAATTTCCTCCACTTCAGTGGTAAGCAGCTGACACAAGTCCACTGGATATACATCTGTAATCAAACTAAACAGTTATCTTTATCCTTCTACAAATAATAGTACATACTTTGATTGGTACTTTCCAATAAAACTTGCCCTTTATTTTGGAGTGTCATTAAAGTTTGGATTGGGAAATTGCATGTACGCATCTAAACAAAAAAAAAATAGCTCAGCACTGTAACAAAACAATCTCCTACCAGTTGATGAAGATGACTGCTGCATTGGGAGATCAAATGTATTGGAAAAAATAATTGATTTTCTTGTTAACGTGAATAATTACATACAAGTGTAACATTTTGAAAACAAATTTTTGCCATAATCAAAAAACAAATGGATAATCTTGAAGAAGGCATTGCAAGAAAACAGAACTGACTAGTGAAAGGTCGAGATTGGTTAAAGGATTCTCACAAGAGCCTCAGATAAGTATTCTCTCACTCCAAAAGGAAAAATATATATTCAGATTCTAAATCTAAAACAACACTAATACCACTAGACACATGGCAGCAAACTGGACTGGATACCATGACTTATGGATTGTAACCTTCGAGATCTAAGTTTTAGGCATTGGGCGCCAATACCTAATCATCGAACGATCTATCAGAAACGGTGGGTGCCAGTTCTTCTTCTTAGGGTGCCTGTCCGTTCCGAACGTTGGCGATCATTCTGGCTGTGATGACTTTGTTGGTTGCTATACGAAATAGCTGTGTTGAGGTCTTTCTATCAGGTTAGCAAGCCAGAATATTCTTCCATGCCATGGGTGCCAGTGCTAACAATATAACTACCTCCGGAAGTTGGGAGCCAATGTATTTTATTATACATGTTTTTTTCTTCATTTTATTCTAATTAATTTTATTTTATTCTGTTTTCTTCAACTTTATTCCATTTTATTTTAATTTATTTGATTTTATTCTAATTTATTTTATTTTAATTTAATTTAATTTGATTGTTTTCTATTCTACAGGGTGTTTCAAAAAGCTTTGTCATAAATTAAACCACGAATTCCGGGCATTGATAAACATTGAATTGAAAAATAAATTGATTAAATCCAACTTACTTTAGTGCAAAAGTGTTCACAAAATTTTTTTTTTTTTCACAAAACATACAATACATTTGATCAAATATCTATATAAATATAAGTGAAGTTAGACCTTCCTTGTTCTTTATCTTTTAGCTTACCTATTTTAATTTGTATTTTAAGAACGATTTCCGAAAAGGAAATTGAAACGTCAACCATCTTACTTTAACCTTCAATTGTAGTTTATTTCCATTAATATAGTGATTACTTTAAAATGCTACAAGAAAATAGCTTCAAAACAATACTATTTTATTTTGTTTAATTTTACTCTACTGTATTCTACTGTGTTTCATTTTGTTCTAATTTATTTTATTTTAATTTTATTTTATTTTATTCTAATTTATTCTATTTTATTTTATTTTATTTTATTTTATTCTATTTTATTCTATTTTATCCTATTTTATTCTATTTTATTCTATTTTGTTCTAGTTTATTCTATTTTATCTCATTTTATTCTAGTTTACTTCATTTTATTCTATCTTATTTTATTTCATATTATTTCATTTTTAAATTTTATTTATTCCTTTTTTTTTTCACAAAACATACAAGACATTTGATCAAATATCTATATAAATATAAGTGAAGTTAGACCTTCCTTGATCTTTATCTTTTACACAAACTTTCTCCTGATAATAACAAACACAACAAAAAGTAATTATCTAGTTTGGATGCATTAATATAGATAAGATCTAACAAGTAAGTATTGAAAACTTAAGAAATCACCTACGCTTTGTGAAGCATTTCGCAGTATGGAAATTTCGCAAACTCTGATCCTGGTTTAAACCTAGATGGTACTTTAAACTTCGAAGATTTTCCTTCCTTATTACATTCCGCAAAAGAAATAATACCCAAATTAACCTATAAGAGACTCGCTAGAAATATAAGGAGTATATTAAAAAAATTCATAATGAACATCTAGGTGAATACCAAGGAGAATTTAAAAGAGGCACATCCACAATCGATCAAGTTTTTGTCTTAAACATTATGTAGACTAGCTCGTATGAGAAAACTTAAAAAAGTTGTGACTGGCTGAATGACAAATGCCTATGCCAAAAAAAGCTTGTATGAAAAAAAAAAAAATAAAACAAAACTCCAATTATTGAATTGAAACAACCTTAAAAGAACACTTATTTGATGAATGGGGGATGGTGTCGTTGCTGTCATGTTATACGAATCTATCTTACCTAAAACGCATGTCAATGGATGTTTTCCACCAAAATAGAAAATCTAATCAATTTATTTATAAGCTCCAGCGGTGATCACAAGTGTATGCATTTGCATTTAAAAAATATAATCCAGTACTCAGTTATCCCAAAACTAATTTTTATAACACTACATTTTTACATCACAACAATAACATTTTTATCACTAAAATTTTATACTTTAAAAACCATGGTATAGAAACAAATGAACATTGCAAAAAAGGTATAAAACAAATTATCTTCTTAATACTTCATTAATCAATTAATGGTTTCCCATAAACTACCGATAATTCGCATGTCATTTGTGGGATGAAATAATGGTAAAAATAATTAATTTAATAAAAATGTTGATTAACAAATCCCACGTTCAATTGTTTTTTAAATTAAATCGCATGTTTATACGTAAATAATCCACTTTATTGATCTTTTTGAGTTAAAATCAGTATTTATCTACCACTACATTTATAATAGACTATTGGCCCAGTGAGTTTTGGGCTATTTCTATTAGTTATTAGTTACCATGAAGGCTTTTGTATTATGGACTGTAGCATTAGTTTGGTTTTGTGTAAGTAATATTATTAGATATCGGTTTACAACGTTTTCCCCACCTTATATTCTCTAATTACTATCTTTATTGGTTTTTTCGTAAGTTTTTTTCACTTTGAATTAATATCTCTTTATTAGTACCTTCCCTCCAGCTCATCTTGGTCTCATCGTTTCCATTTCAGAATTTATTTTCGTATTTTTTTGCTATATATGTACTGTACATGTTCATATCACACCAGCTGTTTGTTTTTGATATCCTCTGTGGGTGTTTCTTTATTGCCTTTATTATTTATCTTTTAGATATCCTTGCCAATATGCTTCGGGAGTCCACTCTCGATCTCTTCTTTCATTCAAATGGCCATATCTCTCACGTAGACCATAACATCTTTAACTGTAATATTATATATTCTTTTTTGTTATCTTTTGTGGTAATTTGGTTTGACTCTTCATTTGACGTTTGGTAGACGCCAAGACTTTTGGTTGTGTTGCCTTCTTCTTCAAGTTCCGCTCCTATCAAAGATTGGAAATCATTCTGACAATTATAATTTTGTTGGTTAGGCACCTAAATAGTCCGACTGCATTCAAACCATTCACAGCCTTTCTTCTTCTGTCTTGCCTTATATTCTTTAATAGTTCGCAGTTTTCACCTCTCATGATGTGCACCAAATATTCCAACTTCCGGATTTTTATGGAATTTAAAAACTGGCATTGTTTTCCTAGTTGTTCGAGAACTTGCGCGTTTGTTTTGGGGATGAATCCATGATATTTTCAGAATACGCCGGTAATCCACATTTCGAATGCTTCCAGGTTTTTAATATTGGATTATTTCAGTGTCCAAGTCACAACTCTATACAAAAGAGTGGAGAAAATATATCATGAAGCATTCCTATTCGAAACGTTATATTGATATATAAAGTTTTCTTATTCTTTTAAAAGTTGACCGTGCAATTTTAATGCAATTTCTTATTTCTTTTATTTTATCAGAATCTTCTGTGATCCATGGTTTAAGGTATTTGTATGAAGAGATTTGTTCAATTTCCATGTTGTCTGGTACTAGCTTAAATTTGATGTTTTGGGCTTTTGTAAATACCATGAACTTGGTTCTCTTAAACTTTATTTTTAGTCCATAATCGCTGCAATATATATTTAGTTGTTGAGCAAGGTGTTCCAGTTCTTCTAGTGTACTGTCTCTACTATCTATGTTTTTATTTAACAAACTTTCTTTGAACCGAATATGCTGGACTCAATGGTGCTGGCTTCTCAAAATGAATGAAACAGGCATATACTTCCTGATTCATACCTAAGCATCTCTGCAAAAGAACACTCACTGCAAACAGTGCATCCCGTATTCCCAGACCTTTCCTAAATCCCGTTTATGTATTACTTATGCCTTCATATAATTTCTTGTGTTCTCTATTGTGAATATTGTAAATTACTTTTAAGAACAGTTTCAAGACATCATTCGTTAAGGCTATGGCGATGTTCATTGGACTCCTTTACATAAGCTTTTTTGGAAAGCAGTATAAATGTCGATTGGAGCCATTCTGTAGGCATTATAATTGTTCTGTATATAGTATAAAATATATCCAAAAGAAGGTCAATAGATTCAGTATCCACAATTTTAAGCAATTCATTGGGAACCCAGAAGATTTTCCACTTTTAGCTTGCTTCATTGCATATTAGTTCGATTCTCGTATAATGTCAGGGCTAGTATCATCTTTAAATTCTTGTGGTGCTTCTGTTTGCTCTTTCTATTCAAAAAGATGGGCTATATAGTATGTCCATTTCAGTATTTTCTGGTTTATATCTGTTAAAAGTGCTATTAGTTCATCTATTAGTTGTCTATATTAAAGTATTTTTTTCATTCCTGTTCACATGTAATATTCCCTCTTTAGCTTCTTTTATATTTTTTAATTAATCGATTGGTTTCATTATATTTAAATGAAATTTTTGTTTTAAGTGATTGTGTTGCCAACTGATGCTTAAATATAATATATGTTGGTTATATTTCTAGTGTTCATATCATAGAAGTTGTTTGTTCGCTATATCCTCTGTGAGTATTTCTTTATTGCCTGTAATTTCTCTCATTCATTCTTTCGTTGTTATTTATCTTCGACATTTCTCTGCCAATCTACCTTTGAAGTCTCCTGCCCATCTTTTTCTTCATCGAAATCTTACTCACATAGACCATAATTTATATACTTTTTTATGTTATCTTTTGTGGTGATTATTTGTTTTTATAAAACGCTAAGACTTTTGGTTGTGTTACCTTCTGATGCATAAATATACCATACTGTATATATTTAATACTAAAACCTTACCAATATCGTATGCATATAATAAATCATATAGAATCATGACATTGAATATTATTCCCGTATTAGAAAATTTCGTTTTTCTATTTTAGCTAAATATAAAGTAATGTTATAAAAACTATTGGCTGATTTCTTAAATTTAATTCAGTGCTGAATCGTTAAACCATCTGTTCAATTTCTGCTTTCCTACTTATTTATCGAAAAACGTGAGATCCTATTTGTGGAGGATATTATTTTTCCTTTTAACATGGCTTGTGGAATATTCTAATCTCAACATTTATTGTCTTAATAAAGAAACTAAACAGTTTCGAAATCTCGACTTTCAACAAGCGAGTCTACACATGAGAGTGTTTTTTAACCACTAGGCCTTTTGACCGCAACCTCTTACCTTTACCTATATATATATATATATATATATATATATATATATATATATATATATATATATATATATATATATATATATATATATATATATATATAATATATATATATATATATATATATATATATATATATATATATATATATATATATATATATATATAATATATATATATATACCAGTTTAGAATTTGGGTTATTTATATGGAGATTAAAATTGTAACACGATAACTGCCTTATTTAGTACATGTCGCTGTGTACTAATTTTGGATAGAGGAATACCTTTAGAAGGTCTATCACGAGACTGCAAATGCCACTGTTGGGCATCTTGCTATCTATTGTGTCTTTTTAGAGCATTCAACGCTTTCTCACTTTTTCGGTGGTATAACTGTAATAGTGTTTTGGCTTTATTTGCCAAAATACTATCTTTTACTTTGGTTTGCATACGCAGGTAATCACATTTTTTGCATGTATCTACTCTTGGTCTTCTAAAAGGCAATTTAGGAAAGTCTTTAAGAAAAACTTTACGATAAAATTTTTGACTTACGATACTATTAAGGTGTTTATCTTTAGACCATGTAAACAGTCTGCTCATATTTAAGTCTGAGCTCAAATACTCCTTTTCTGATTTACAGCCTCTTCTCTTGGAAATGGATTAATATGGGTTTTAACATACTTTCTGTCAGAATCTGTAAACTTGAATTTAAATAGCCTAACAGGATTGTCTTTAAAAACCAAATCTCCTAGTTTGTTCTTCCTTAAAGTGTTTGTAATTTTTTGGGGGAAAAAACAAAAAAAGACAAAAATATTAAAAAAGGTTTTTTTACATATGTTTACAAAATCGCCCTTACCATCACGTAACCTGTAACTTATTGTGGCTTGCCTCATGCTATTTTCTGCTTCTTCGGAGGTTCCATGTCGTCTTCTGGCAATTTTAAGTGTGTCAAACAATCCTAATAAGTATGACCCATGTTCGTTTACTCTCAGTTTATGGTACCTATAAAAAGCTTCTTTTTCATATCAGGCGTTACTGCTTTCCAGCTGTATTTACACTTGCCCTTAAACCTTAAACAAAGCAAATACATTGTAATCTATTGCAAAATTTATAAAATATAAAAGAACACTACTGTTAATACATAAAATTAAATCCCGTACTTAAAATTTAGCCTAGGTCTAATCGTAAAAGACACATCCAGTAAAAATTGTTAGCTAATGTAGGCTAAATTGGTATTATCTAGAAAAAAATAGCCTATAGCAAGACGTATTATACTGTACTAGAATGTTGAAGCATTGAAAGAAGCGAACATAAAATAAATATCAAAGTAAAGCGTTTACTTTAATATTTTTAGCCTTCTTCTTCTTCTTCTCATGGCGCCGTCTCCTTTCGAAGATTGGCGATCCAAATGGCAATTGTAGTTTTGGAAACTGATCTTCTTCTTACGGTACCTTATCCTTAAGGACGTTAGCCATTACATTTGCTCATTTAATCTTATTTGTAGCAGCCCTGAATAGTCCTATGGAGGTCATGTTCGTAAATTGCCGTAGGTTTTTAAGCCAAGAGTTGCGTCTTCTTCCTGGTCCTCTTTTGCTATTGCCTTCGATTATAAGTTGGAGCAGTTCATACTTTTGATTTCTTATGATGTCACCAAAATATTGTATTTTCCGTTCTTTTATTATAAACATAAGCTCTCTTTCCTTATTCATCCTCCGCAAGACTTCCGCATTTGTCGTATGGCTGATGTAGGATATTCTGAGCATTTCACGGTAACACCAGAGTTCGAATGCTTGGATTATTTTTTGTGTTGCTTCTGTCATTGTCCAGGATTCAACACCATAGAGCAAGGTGGAGAAAACATAAGACTTAAGTATTCTAGTTCTCAATGAGATGCCCAGCTGGCGGTTGTATAGAACTTTTTACATTTTGTAAAACATTGTACCCACGTGCCTTTTCTAGGCGTATTCTTATCTCTAGTGAGTGGTCTCAAGTTTCATCAAGATTACTTCCAAGGTACGTTGTTCTTGTTACTCTTTCCAGATCTGTTCCGTCGACATTGACCTTCACCCTTCTGTTTTGGTGCTTGCTGATGACCATCGTTTTTGTCTTTTTTGTATTCAATTTCATTCCAAATTCTCCAGAGGCTGTGGTTACTCGGTCCATTAAGCGTTGCAAGGCTTCAGCATTATCTGCCAGTATGACAGTGTCATCAGCATATCGCAGGTTATTTATACATTGCCCGTTTATAATTATACCATCCGAGGTGTCTTCCAAAGCTTTCTGAAATATCTTCTCAGAGTAAACATTGAACAGCAAAGGTGATAG